TTTTCAGTCAAGAGCAGTGCGTGATTTTCTGTCTTTCTTTTGTTGCTTGATGAACATCAATGACTCGGACAATAGCAACTAAATTAGGCTGCTATCCCTTTAAAACCGAAAGCACAGCTGCAATGGATGCAATGTACTGATACACGTTCTCCCTACTTTACGTTCACTTAAGACGTAATCAACTTTGTTACCTTGAATACTCATCAAAACGGACAATTCGACATCATTTTGCGTGTAATTCTCCATTCATGCGACGCAAGAGAGTACTCGCGCGCTGTGCGACGCGCTTTCTGTGTGTGTATGCTTCAGTGTCTGCGCTCAGAAAACCCGACCGAATTGAGCTCTCTCTTGCGTCGTCAGATTTATTTATGTGTCTGCTCTTCTCTTACTCGCCACATATTGATATTTTTGAACGTTTTATGCAACGTGCAGCAAGTGTATTTTAACTTATGTCCCGCCGGTTCATATGTACGCATCTAACCTCTTATGCAGCAGATTTCTGAATGAATTTCTTCCCAAATCGTCCCTCCCTAACATTTTCGTCTCGTTTTTATTCGTTGACGAAAATGTCAATATATTTTCGTCATAGTTTTTGTCATTCAAAAAAGAGTTTTAGTTCGTTATCGTCTCGTTGTCGTCAGTGAAAAAAATGTCGTTGACGAACATTATGACGAAAATTATTCGTCAACGAAATTAACATTGCATCTATAACATCCCCGTCACTCAGAGAGACAGACAGACACGGATCCTTTTACACTGACAAGCAGCAGAGCCTAATCTGACTCTGAAGAAAATACATGAAATGCTATTCGCACACCATTTTATTTTCATAATAAGTCATTTTAGAGGCAGAACGAGTTATTACATTTTGATGAAATATTACAACAAATGTTTTTCTTTGGAATAACATTCAGCAAATCAAATACAATAAGACCAATAACTAGTATTAAGAAAGTTATTATCCATTGACTTGTAAAAAAATCAATGGATACGATTTTTGGCAAATAATTCTGTTTCAAAGCAATTCGGGTATGGATCATCCAGTCTGACAGATTGGTTCAAGAATTGACTCAAAGAAAAATAAACATTAATATGGCTTGCCAGCAAGTTGCTCTACACAAAAGCAATTTCTAGCTGATGAAATATTTTAGCTGTTATGACCCCCTATGACATAATATTTTACTAATATCCAAGACTTTAAAACATCATGAATTATTTACAAATACATGTGTGAAATGATTATTATTTTACAACAGATTTAAACAAATATTTACAAGATATTTAAATTTTACTACACAAAATTATTATAATTGATACAACCATTATACAATGTGGGAGTCAGTATGATTTATTTATTTATTTTATAAGAAATTAATACTTTCATTTAGTGAGGATATATAAAATTGGTTAAAAGTGGCAAATTATTTCACAAAAATAGATAAAAGCGGTACTTTTGAACTTCCCATCAAAAATTCAAATAAATAAATAAATTGTATCATGATTTCCACACTGGAAATAACTGAAATCAAATCAGCATATTAGAATAATTTCCAAAGTAATGTGACTCTCAATACTGGAGTACTGGCTGCTGAAAATTAGGATTTGAATCACACAAATAAATTCCATTTCAAAATATATTAAAATAGAAAACATTTATTTTAAATGATAATAATATTTCACACAAAAACTGACCCACATTTTTGAACGGGGGTGCAAACTTTGTACTACATTAAGCATATCTCTCTTTTTTGTTTTTCTGAAGGTAGGTTATGTAGTAACATAGGTGTTATAGTTACATCATCATTCGGCTCTCAAGTCTCTGGAAATGTGGGCCCCTGGCCAAGCACCAGCTCCCTTACAGTGGACTTCCTAACCACATCTATAAAATCTTTTTGTGAGCAATATGGCTTATGTGAGTGTGTGTATATGTGTTTGGGTCACTGCCAGGGCACACACTTCAACTATTCTTGGCCCGCGGCTCTACTGGGTTTCAATAATTCATCCATCTCCCAGTCCCTCACACAAACACAGAGACAAACCCCCAGAACAAAGCTACAGTCGGACGACCTGAGAAAAATAAGAGACGCATACAGACACTCACCATTTGATTTCTCACTGTCTGCGGGCTTCATCTGTATGGGATGGTGCATCTGAAACACAGGACACACACGGGTTACATTTACACAAACACGGCACATTTACTACAACACACTCATTAACGCTCACGCCAGCACATAATCAAGCTCGTCTCACTGCCGGCACTGATGTTCTACATTATCGCTGTAATCTTGTTAATGTGTCGTCATTTTTTCCGCTGACTCTATTCTTCATCTCGATAGATGCTAGCGGAATGAAGACGTACGCGTGATGAAGGTGATTTGTCAGCACTTTGCCGATGAAATGTTTATTGCGTTCCATCTTTCTTTCGCACACACTTGTTCTTGTCTATCTCTAGTCAACGATTTTTGGAATAATTTGCCGTACGCATTCTGCCATTTCGTCTGCACAGCTTTTCAATTGTGAGTCAATGTGCAAACCTGTCAGATGTCTTTAATTTCCCCAATATACATTATCTCTCACCACATTTATGTATTTGGTCTAAAATGTCTCACTGCAGGGTTATTTATTTTCTCCAATCCTTTTCTCAAAATATTTCCTTTTCTGAAATATATATACATCACTTGCACATTGCACACACATTATAAAATTAATAAAATATAATTAGCATTAATAAATTAATTATACCTTTTAAGAAACAGATTTATGAAAATGATATTTTGACCTAGAACTGATGCATGCACATAAATCCAACTTATAAATTAATCATTTTGACAAATATTTAACAACATAATTAGGTATTTGTTCTAAAATAACAAATACTACTACTACTATGACTAATAATAATAAATTTTGACCAATCAGATGACCAAACAAATATTTCATCATAAATAAATAAATAAATGCATAAATAAATAAATACAAATATTTTGTATCTCATATATTTAATTGGTTTTAAAATTGTTTTATATTTTAATAGAAAAAGTTGTGCAAATAAATCCAGCTTCGCCATTCATTATTTTTAGTATTAAGATTTAAAATCAGAGATGCTATTCAATTACCTTTATCTCAAATACTCAAAAGTTGCGACATAAGGATGTGTGCAACTAGTTTACTAGCACAGTTTTTAGGAAACTGAATAGTCAAATTAAACGCATCAAAACCATTGTGAAATTCACATTAAAAACTCAAAACATGAGTCTTGAAACCCCTGCATTCTGTTCGATTCTGTTGTGCTTACGGTCTTTGAAAGCAAGAACGTGCTCTGTGTAAACATCTGCTAAGCCTGCACTTCCACTTTTAGTAGCTCGTCTATTTTCTTTCTCAAAATCTCTCCTCTTGTAACACCTTCAGCTTCATGGTCAAATCTTGAATCCAGCTTTGATATACTGCCAGAGACCAGATCTGTCTAACACACACGGCTCTGTATGGCATCTGTCTCCCAATATTCATATTGTCTTCTCTGTATAGTGAGTGCTTATATGTGGCCGTCACAGAGCTCGTGGACGTGTGTGTTCTCATTCTCTCCCATTAAAGGCCATGACACTAATTACAGAGATCATGGTCTGTTAGCAGTTTCTCATGAAATACACATGCTTGCTCTCATAACACACACATACAGACACCTGAAAGAAGTCAACATCTGCGGCTGGAGACAGAATGACAGCTCCATAACTCTTGGGTTGGATCGAATTATAAAAGCAGTCAGAAACAACTGAAGATATCGGTTTACTTCATTTCAACTTTGACCTTTGACCTTCATCACACACACACACACACACACACACACGGTCTTTGATGGTTTGCCCTGCTGCCGGCATCCTCAGGCATCTGATCCTGTAGGACACACACTCTCTTTCTGACCGTGGATAGAATACTTAAAGGTTTTAAAAGACCCAAGTTTGTTGTTTGAGGTTATTTGGTCTCTTTGGACACAGACCATACACCATTTTTGTATTTACAATTAAAATATATATATTCAGATGTTTAAGAAATGTTTAGAAAATTAGCTAATTTCTCATTTCTTTGTGTGTGTGTGTGTAGTCCAGTGGTTTGAGGACACACACTGTGTGTGTTTGGGTAAAAGATCACAGAAGTCAGACAGATGGGCACACAGTGGGGATTTTATAAGCTGCCACACTCTCCTGAACACACACACACTCACACAGTGGCATAAACACTAGCAGTAAGTGATATGTAATTATTTATATATTTATATATATATATACATATATATATATTAGAGCGTGCGCACAAACACAAACGCTTTCAAACAGACGAGACCTTCTTGAAACCAATTCAGACGGGGAAATTGATAACATCTGTCAAAGTCATAAACAGATAACCCACTGACACACACACACACACACACACAGGTGGAAATCTTTTAATCAACTCAAATAGAGCAGCAAGGAGATGGATGGATGGATAGACAGACAGACAGACAGACAGACAGACAGACAGATAGATAGATAGATAGATAGATAGATAGACTCTGCACATTTCTACAGAACTAGAACGCCTGTCACTGATCAAATTCAATAAATAACCGGCTTGTTTATTAAATTTGCAAATATGCTTTCTTATTAAATATTTTGATTTCACTTCCAACTACAGTCTTATTAACCCCCTTAGCTAACATTTTCAAATCCATTCTGCAGAGTACTGCAATTGTTTTTTTCAAAATAAGCATAAAGTCTTCAGATTTCATTTGGGCCTGCTCATTTGCGACTGTAATTACTGTAAATAAATGTCTACTGCCCAAAAACTTCACAACAAGCTTATTCACAAAACTGAACTGATCTTGTAGTGTATCAGCAGGTTTCAGTGAACTGAATTAATGTAAGAGAGAGAGAGAGATGAATTCGTTCACAGCTGGAGGACACTTTAACAGACATGTCCTACATTAGCCTTCAATCGTCCTCACACACACGCCGCTTCAGAGACGGTCTGATTATGGCAGCAATTGATATGATAATCGTATGTGACATCTCTAGATCTGTGTTGGCTAAAGGGTTTGGATTTGGGAAAACAACATTTCTAACTAAACAAAAAGATGATTTGAAAACAATGACAATAAAAGCAGATACTAAAAGCAAGAAAACAGTTTATCTGTCAGGTTTTTAATAGCACTATTGCTATGTTTTCAAAAAAAATGAATCTTGCTTTAACTGTATGGACAACCTTACATTTCATTTTATTACAGTTGACAGGGACCTTTGATACTGTTTTATACAGTCACAAAAACACACATTAAGCACAAAAACATGCAGTACACAAGTACACAAACATGTTTCAGGTGGTTCAAATACGGTTGGATTTCTGATATCACTAGAATATCACACTCCTTTCAGCCAATCAGATTCGAGGACCAAAAAGAACTGTTGTATAATATATATAAATATTACATACATGTTTTACGTATATATATATATATATATATATATATACAACATTTTTTTATATTGCATCTTATGATGTACCAAATGCTTAAAATCACTTGTAGAATTATAAACCCGTTAATTTTAGTTTTCAGTATTTCATTTTTAATTTATTTGGTCGAATTCATTGGAGTCAGATTTTAAAATCCGGCATTTATTGTTTATCAGCCACAACATGAATAATCATTGGTTTAATTGGTCTCAGACAGAATTTTAATATCAGTGCATACCTATGAAATACACTAATGTTCAAAAGTTTTTGATCTGTAATTTTTTTATGTTTTTAAATGAAGACTCGTACGCTCACCAAGGCTGCATTTATTTTAAATAAAACTGTATTCAAAGTACAGTAAAACTGTAATTATCACAATTTAAAATGTATGTTTTTTTTAATGTAATATCTTCTTATGATAGCAAAGCTGAATTTTGCTGAATTTTGTAATTATTTTATGTTTTTAAATGAAGACTCGTACGCTCACCAAGGCTGCATTTATTTTAAATAAAACTGTATTCAAAATACAGTAAAACTGTAATTATCACAATTTAAAATGTATGTTTTTTTTATGTAATATCTTCTTATGATAGCAAAGCTGAATTTTCAGTAGCCATCACTCTAGTTTTCAGTGTCACACGACCTTTCAGAAATAATTTGAATATGCTGATTTGGTGCTTTTTTCCTTAATATTTTTTTTGTGGAAACCGTAATACTTTAAGATTTTTTGATGAACAAAGTTTTAAAGCACAGCATTTACCTGAAATTGACATTTTAAAAATGTCTTTACTGTACCGTTTGATCAATTTAATGCTGCATTGCTAAATAAAACTATTAATTACCTTCCCAAACAAATTAATGAAAAAAAAAACAATCTTACTGACCACAAATGTTTGAACGCTAGTGTACAGCCCAAATCCCTCCCATGACTATTTGTGTTTGGATTTCGAGAACAAGGGCTCTGATTTCATGAAAGCAAACATCACTCGCTCCGTCAGAAAGCGCAAATCATAAACTCATTAAAGTCGCTCATAAGCCTGTCTCCTCAACACAACTTCACACATTTTCCTGAATTACAACCTCTAACAAAGGAAACCAGATTAAAAACTTGAAACTGTCGTCATTTGAATAAGAAATTCTCTGCCTCGCTAGCTTTCAGAGAAAGACAGACATGAGCAGATAAACAAACACTCACCCCAGTTAAGGTCTTTATGTTGTGCAGTGCATTCTGGGCCTCCAGGGCAGCTTTCCGTGTGTAGAATGTGACAAAACAGCACCCTGGGAAAACAGACAGAGATGGAGAGAGAGAGAAAGAGAGAGGTAAGCATTTTAAGCATGCAATAAGCCAAGTGGATTTGATCTTTTTCTTTTCGTCTCACTACCTGCTGAGAGAGAAAACAATCTCACTGCTGTCATACAGATCTCTGCCAAACTACACCACAGAGAAGATAAGGGACGAGGGAGAGAGAGAGCGAGAACGAGAGGAAAGAGGCTAATATTTGATGCATGATAAACAGCAATTTGGAGTGGGATTTTGGACCAATGAGAGCTCACTGTGGGCGGGGCTACCCAGCTTGATGCCTCATGTTGTTGCTAGCATGACTTTTGTACTTTCTGAAAGAGAAAACACTGCACATTGTGGCACAATGGCAGTCAATCAGAACATATCTGGAAAAAAGAAAAGAAAAGAAAAGACCAACAACAACAGACACAAGACTTTTAGACCAATGAGATTTCAGTAAGTAAAAACAAAAATGGTTAAAATTATTTATTTATTTAAAAAAATTATAGTGCAAATAAATAAATAAATGTTTGTATGAATCTTTTTGAATAATTCAATAAAAAACCTAAGAATAATAAAAAAAAATTTTTTTTAAAAATGGTTAAAACTATTTATTTATTTCAAAAAATTATAGTGCAAATAAATAAATAAATGTTTGTATGAATCTTTTTGAATAATTCAATAAAAAAAACCTAAGAATAATACAATTAAAAAAAAAAAACATAAGAGTCATTTGCTTATGAAACTGCTGTAGCTGTGTCACGATGTCACACACACGAGGGACGAGGAGACGCTGGAGAATGCTTTTAACAGGACTTTATTGGAACCAAGGGAGACGAACACAGGAAGACCTTCACCGGAAGACGTACAACAGCGGACAGAGAAGTAGGGACTGGGAACACTTTAAATACACACAGGAGGAGGGGATCACGAGACACACCTGGGAGCAATGACACATCATGGGGAACACCTGGGACAAATGAACTAAACTAATCAGGGGAGGAACAGGAAACTAATCAAATAAGGGCAACATTTTTATTGCTGAAATTGCATACATTAATAACCGTGAAAACTAAACCCATTTAATGTATTTAATTGCCAAATTACATTCAAAATGCAAATACAAATATATCAATAAATTTTTTTTATAAATAAATAAATAAAAATACAAAAATCAATATCACATTACTTAAAAAAAGGTAAACAGTACAAACTAAAACTAAGGCATAAATCAAAATAATAGTAATACAAATAATAATAATACCTAAACAAACCATTTATGTCGTGCAACTTAACTTTCAAGTTTCAGCCTAACTAAAGCTCAAGCATGACATAAGCCTTTGCTGTCTTCTTGGAAGGCTTTGTGGCTTTTGTGAGAGGCAAAAATCAGTGGACAGGAAGGTAACTTGGAACAAGAACAAGAGTCCATACACAGTTTCTAAACACACTTTTCTGCATTATGAATTATTTGGAGAATAAACCCTCTTAAATGTCCCTATTCGTATTGGTGTGTATTGGTGTGTGTGTGTGTGTGTGTGTGAAACTTGTTTTTGATATCCTTCATATTCTGTGTGCGGGTCAGTTCACAGCAGTGATAGAAATTAATCTGTTCCAATAAGTTTAAACAGATTTTTACATTTTATGGGCATTTTTACCTTTATAAAGCCTTTTTTTTTTCTAAAAGTGTGCATCATCTTTTGAGTCAAATTCTTACATTTTATCAGTCAATTAGAATAAAAGACATGTGGACTGTTACCAAACAAATGATATCAGTATCACAATTCATCTTTGCAATGCAGAGGAAACACAAACGCCCCCATGTTGCACAGAGATGCAAAAACAGCGCTGTGGCTGTGTTCGGAATTTTTTTGTTGGCAAAATAAAGCAAAAACAGGCAATATAGTGTCTAAAACGTAAGATTCGAGGAATCGTTTCAGCCCTATGATCACGTAATGTATTTCTGTGCAGCCGAGGAGGACAACCTAACAACCTTGTTATCATTTTTTATTATTTTGCATTACACTGTTTAGTGTTTTTTACTAAACAGTGTTTTACTGTTAACTAAAAGTAATACTAAAACTGTTAAAATGTCATTAATTGAAATAATGCTGAAATGAAATCAAATATAAATATTAGATGAAACTCTTAAACTTTAGAATTGTTGACTTGGAAGTTAATTGAAATTAAGTATTAAAAATTGCTAACACTCAAATAAAAATAAGGCCGAATAGAAATAAAAAAGAACTCATTAAAATTACAAAAGCACATAAATTACTAAAAACTAATTAAAATTAAAACTAAAAATATACAAATAAAAGCATATTTAGAGTATTAAAAAATACTTTAATAGCATATAAATATTACTAAAAATAACACTGATTTTCAGACTGAAAACTCACGTCAGACTCAAATTAAATATGTATCACTTAATGGACATGTTCCATTAAGCCACAAAATTTCACAATACTTTTTAAGGCCACCAAAACCGATCGACCAAAAGGCTCTGTCCTTCATCAGAAGATTGAAAATGAGTATATGTACAGTATACTGTATATCTGCATGCATCACTGTCCTTGACTGGGCATTGGAGCACAGAAGTACACACACATACACACACACACAAACAGGCAGAAATCACCAGAGACGACTGACAGAAAGAATCAGCTGGGGACCTTTGTATGTATGTGTGTGTGCGGCTAAAGCAAGCTGAGAGTGCTGGCATGTTTTATTTAGAGAGAAAAGAGAAGAGGAACAAGAAAAAAAAATGAGTGAACTGAATCCCCTTTTACTGCCAAGGAGAATTTTGGCAGGATAAACTAAGGACTCACTCGTCCCTGGCAACGGTGCAGTCCAGTCCATGGCCAAAACAACCCTGTTCCCAGTGTTACACACACACACACACACACCAGACACCAGTAAGTGATCATACACATTTAAACTCCCAACATGCCTGAAACATTCCCATCAGTCAACATTGACATTGGTCCTGGCTGGGGGGCTTAATGGTCCGGGGCCATTAACACAAAGGTTGCAAGTTCAATCCCAATTAAGTGTGACCTAGGAACTGAAGTGTTAATGAGATCCCGGTCCTGATCAATCACCATTGTGCCTGAAGAAAAAGTACTGACCCCAGGGGTCTCAAAGGACTATATCCAGAATTAGTGTACCATATCTGCTAAATAGACATGTAGTCTAATGCTCAGATTGTTCACACAAAAATACCAAGAGCTTTCTCAAAATTGTAAGCTTAAATCTGACTGGTTGGTTTTGAAAATGAAAACAGTGGCTGGTTGCTTCCTGTCTCAGTGGGCGGTCCCTGGCCAAAATGAGCTTCAGTGTGGACCAGACTTTATGGCATAAATTTACGGTTATACAGCAATAAACAAAAATGTGTTTTCAAAAGCATGGTACTGATTGTATGAGACAATTGTGAAACATTTGATATAGGGGGAGTGTTCACATGCATTCTGTGTACAGAGATTTGAGTTAATACCACATGAGCCTAAACACTCCACAGCTACTCTAACAGTAATACTACATGAGCTCATAATACTCCAGTAGTATTAAGTAACACTCCACTACATCAAGACTTGGAAGGCATCATACACTTGCGTAAGACCAGTGAAGGTAAAGATAAATAATAAGATTGAGAAATCTGATAGTTCTGACGGAAGAGCCATGCTCAAATCTGTTGTAAAAAGCTATATACACGCACCACTGAACTCACAGTACTGAAACAATTTAGTATGTTGCTTTGTTATTATTATTATTATTATTATAAAGGAAACTGTACTGTTTGTACATATTAAATGCAATGTATAAAACAGTATTCAAATAAAATAATAATAATAATATATTTGTAAAATAAAAATCGTAATAATAATATATAACACACACACACATACAGATATAAACATCAGCAGAAAATAACACATTATTACTTATTATTATTATTATTATTAGAATAATGCTTTATCTAACTTGTAATTCATTCAAACAGTAATTTAATTAATATGACGATGATGATGACGATGATATTATTATTATTATTATTTTTTTAATAATGTTTCATCTATAACTTTTAATACATTCAAACAGTGTAGTTTCATTCTGCTGTTTAAATAACTGAAAACATACAATTAATAATGATGTTATACTGTACTATTGAAAGTTTAACAGTAAGTAATAAATGAAATGCAAATAATAATAATAATAATATTAATGATAATAATAATGATAATAAATGATGATAATAATAATCTATGTTTTTTTTTTCTTTGTTTATCTCCAAATCATTTCAATATACATACTTTCACACACAAAAAAAGCATTTGTGTTGTGGTGCTTTCACATTTTAGGCAGGGGGTCACTAAAAAGTGAATTATTTTATTTGTTGGCCCATATTGGCATAAAAAAAGTTTATTTGGCATTAACAAATTTGAAAACATCTGTGCTAAAGGATTTATTTATTTACTTATTTACTTACTTATTTTTGCTAATTGAAGAGTGGTGTCATTTATCATATTACTGTTGCTGATTTTCCCATGCTTAATGTGAAGGGGCACTTCACATTCTATCAAAACACACAGATGACAACTTGTGACTTACTGATTTTGCATATCATTCTCCTTTTCCAGTTCCTTCTAGAACATAGAGATGTCCAAAACCCTTAAAATGCTGCCTTCAAAACAACGCTAATACGCTAATATGAACCAGTCAGCCAATAAGATCATGTTCATTCCTGTGTTGTCAGCAAAAGTGAAGGAAACGCAGGCTTTCTCGACTCTGCCAGCAACTCATTCCTTGGCTGTTGACAGTGGTTCGTGTTTAATCGTGTTGCGACACTGGAAACTTTTGACAATCCCAGGCAGGGAGGTCAGAAGAGCCATCCTCAAAGTGTTTTCCACATCCGTATGTGGCAGGACTGCTGACGTACGGTCTGAAAGCCCATGCCTCACCTGAGACGGATAAGACAGGATAAAACCACGAGGCATAC